CGCCGTGTGCGGCTTCCCCAGCAGGGGCTCTGCAGGAGGGGCTCCTCCTCCCAGCAGCTCCTCGGGACCCATCCCCCCCAACGCTGCATCCCTCCTGCCCGCTCTGTGGGCATCCGCCCAGGAGCTGTCCTGGCGCAGGCCTAAGGGTTTGGTCTGGAAAGACTTTTTTACATAATGTTTGAAATCGTCATTTAATATGGGTTTAATGTCCTACAAATCCTTCAGACTACCTCGGAGGCCTTGAATGGCTGAAATAAAAGCACATACGAATCGTTGCCTTTCTCACAACCAGAGCGAGGCAACGGCCGGTGGGAAACACCGCCAGCCCCTTTCTACCAGGTTGGTCTTACTCTGTTGCTGAAATAACAGTACCTACTATTACATATCTTAAATACCCAGGCTGAAGATTTAAAAAAGATAATTTTAAAATAAAAGATAATTGGTATTGCTTTTACCAACTCCTTCATGCCTGTTAGTACCGAGCTGACTGAAGGCTGCTCCGAAAAACACACTTTTCTGATTTGCAGTTAGGTTTTTGTGAAGAAGCCTAAGGGCTTTGGCTCACACAAGCACAAAACTTCCTGCTCAGTGGAAAGCGTCAGAGTTGGCCAAGGTTTCACATGGCCAACTCCTGAAGCTTTGGGATGTGGGAAGACAACGAGGAGGGTGTGATAGCCGGCGGCAAGCTGGCAGTTCTCTGACAGCTGTGATGAAAGAGAACTAGAGAAATCAACAGAAAGTTAGTCCTCATTGCCTGCCCACAATAAAAATGTGGATCTTGTTTTCTTTTTATCTGGAATGTCAAAGCTGAGATCTCACAGCATCAGTGTTTCTCAGCCTTGCTGTGGAGAAGGCGCCCAGCTTGCTCGAAGTTTTGTTGCAGCACAACAGCATCAAACTTTTGCAAAGTTTCAGCATCTTCCTTACCCTTCATTTCTGCCCTTGGTCAGGTTTAGAATACCCCAGTTCTGATTCACTGACTTCACTACTTTGTTCACTGTAATCGTAGCTGAGGGTGATGGAGACTGCATTAGTATTGCAATTAGTGCTGCAGGAGATGGACAGAAGGCGAATACACATTAGTTGGTCCTTTTGAAGGTGCTGCAGGCTCACTGTTAATATGTTGTTAAACAACTATATATGCATTGTGCACTGAAGCCAATACCTAGGAAAGTCAATTTGTAACACATCAATGCACCCTCCTGTATCTCTAAGCTTAGCAATAATGAAGGCTTAACAACAGAGATACAGAGGGACTTTCTTGTGTAACACTTGCTGTCATGAAGGAATTGTTAAAATTCTCTGCTTGCCAGGAGCACAACAAATGAAAACGTAATTTCAATTCTAAAAAAATCTTGACTATCAGAAAATGAAAATACAAATATTACTACTCAATGTCCAAAAGTTGTCAAAAAAAAAAATTGGGACAAATCTGAATATAAACTGTCATTTGAGCTATTTCTATTAGCCTCAAGGCTTAACATTACCATATAAACAGGTCTGCATAATGCTAAGACTGACTTTGGACATAACGCATTAAATCGCATATTGAGACGTTCTGCATTTTGCCACATTCCCTTTCTGTGTAACACCGATCGATCACAGATGTTACATGACTATCGTGCACAATGGGCAGGAAATTTAAACGAGCAAAGCGTTACACACAGAGGACAAATGTGTGCGTATGGAAACACACTCCTGCCCGCAGAAAGGCATTTTGATGAAAACTGGCTTTCGGTGGGGGTCCCGCTCAGCAGGGACTAGCCAGGGTGACTTGAAAAGAACATTTGCACATTCACATGACGATGCACGACTTGCTTGTTTTGTATGAACTGTGGGTCCCTGCTCTGAATTCTCCTTTTCACCAAATGTAAGATCTGTGAAGTTATTCTCTTCTAACAATCTCTCATATTCATCACAGGCTCCAAGGGCCTGCGTCTTCAGAACCAGAAAAGCCGCTAAGCAGGACATTGGTCTTAGCAGCGTTACCACAGCATCAGCTCTGATCCCTGATGCAGAGAGTCTTGCTTTGCACGGTTTTTCTTCACAACTGCAGGACTACTCAGACGCAGTGTCCCATGTACCTGTGTCCACATATTAACAGCTATAGTAGAGGTTGTTGTTTAGGTCCAAAATTTGACACTGCCCCCAGAAGACGTTCCCAACACAGCAGCTCATCCTTTGATGATGTCAAATACACAGTATTTTTTTGGAGCATGCTGTCACACCTTTTAGTTATGCTGGACTGACTCTGAAGTCCTTACTCAGCCTTAGCACTCTGTGGAAGTTTTGCCTGAGAAAGGACTGCAGGATCAGTCTCTTCAGTTTACATCATAGGTTTTAACCGCAGCACTGGGATTGCCAGCTTGCTACAAAACTTCTTTTTTGTAGATGTTTTTTGTCTTTCAGAAAATAAACTAATATGAATTTTGTTTTGAGATATTTTAAACCTACCATGTAATGTAAATGGATATATCAGCAAACATTTTTGTTCTCTTTCCCCTTTTTGTAATAAACCAAAATATTTTGCACCTTATACTTTAAATGCTAGAAGTGGCGGATTTTTTTCTAACCACAAAACCCAGGATGGTTGCCACCTTCTGCTTGGTCTCATTAATAATGAAAACTCACCAACAAAGCACTTAAAAAATATTCCTGCTTCGGAATAAAAAAGTATCAAATTTAAAAAAACAAGTTATCTGTATGCGTGTGTGTGTGGGCGCACCCTTGTACACATATGCTTATGTGCAAGACGGACTGAAGATTTTTGCGACTACCCCATCAGTCTTACCGAGAACAATCACTGACAGTGAATTTTACTGTGTGCCCTAAATATGATGTTCTTCATTTAACCTGCAGGGCTTGAACCGTGCAGCTGCCATTGCACCAGTGTGACTAAAGCCCTGGATTTCACAGTGAGGATTGATGGTCCCCAGAAGATTTGAACTTCACGAAGGAATGTTAGATTAAAAACAAGCACTGTTCAAAAACCCCTACAGAATAAGTAATAACACTGTGTTTCTATTATACAAACCCGTTGGCAACCCTGTTTTTAAACACGCTTGCCTCTAGAGCTGGTTGAAATGCTGGAGACTTATCTTGACTGAAATATTTCAACCAGTTCTCACTGCTACAAGCTTTCCTAAAACTACGGCTCTTGTGACTGTCAAGACAAAAAGAGAAAGGAAGGTGTGAGGGGAGGAAGGCCTTTTCTTAACAAAGGCAGCTTCAGTTAGTAAGATAACATAATCTTCAAGCTGCAAAAGCAGCATCTACTAATTAGTCATTGACTAAAACATAAATAATAAATACCTAAATTGTTTCTTCTATGCATCCATTTTTGTGCCAGATAAACATTTCGATGCTCTGCCTTAATGCCAGCACAGCTGACACTGCAATTTCAAGTCCAAAGCAAACTGCAAGTAGCTTTAAACCGACACTACAAGCCACTGGGATCTGGGTGTTACGGTCATCCTGCAACTGTTTAAAAGGGAATTCAACCTTTCTGTGAGATGCGATACTGGAATGATTTAAGGGTCTATTTCCCTCCCGATGTGGATGCTTAACTCTCCTCAGCAGAAAGTTAACCGTACACACAGAAGGGTAAACAGAGACCTTACTTTATTACATCAATAGCATTTTTTTCCTAATTAACCCAATAGCTTTTAATAACCTTTTTGGGTTGTGTTCTTAACAGAAGATTACCACCACAACAAGGTGCATACTTTATGCTAATAAATGCATTAGTTGGAGATGAATTTGCATATAGAACCTGTATTTTAAGTAGTTCTTGAAACGTAAATGAATTTTTTCCCTGCTGTAGAAAATGCAGCTTAAAATGATGCAAAATATGCCTATTTCAAACAGGACGCAGCCTGCTAGAAATTCTGAGGCCAGACAAGGGTTGTTCATTGACAGAATAAGTAAAAGCACTGAGAAACACAGCATTGCTCTCCTTCACGTTCAGCTCGTGGCTTCGGTCAGGAGCCCCCACGCAAGCCTGGGAGGACCCTTCTTCACAAAGAGCTGGCAGATCGGAGATCAAGGGAGCGAATTAGTGTTAAGACTTACTAGCCACTGAGGGAAGAAATGTGGTGTTGCAGATGTAGTTTCCCACAAAACTCAGCTCATGAGCAAAATCAGCAAAGGATGTGAGCAGACACGTCACAATCCACCTCAGCCTAGACATGCATGCTTGCTCTACTGGAAGTCTGCGAAAATGTTTGGGTACTGGTGGGCTTACAAAAAAACCCTGCAGATTTGAAAGGGCTAAAATCCCAAATGCTTCTTTGTTCTCCAAACTAAGAATATTAGTACCCAGACCCTGAACCTGACTGCATGAGACATAGAAGATTAATATCGCAAACCACTGGTTCCATTTAGAGTTTATAATGAAATTAGTCTAAAAACAATCTCTGAAAGTTTCTACTTTTGCTCGTTTTCTGTGACTAGGATAACAGACATTAGCTGAGTCCAGAATTACTTTCTGTTGCTAGAAAAAAGTGAGGGTGTACCATAACTATTTTATGTTCTGTGAGGTAACGTGGCCATACAGGCTCTAGCCTGCAGTAACCAACCTCCCCAGGAAGCATTAGTAGAAGGGAATTTTGCTGTGATTTTTTTCATGGTAGCAAAGCAATGAAAGCCTATGAAACGGCAGAGGTACAGACAAATGTATTTTTAAAAAAACACTTTTAGCAGCTGCTCCTTCACTGCCCTCTCCATTGCTTGCTGCTTCTGTCTCCAGACCTGCGCAGCAGCGGGCACAGCACGGCCAGAGCCCCAGGGCACCGCAAAGGCTGCCCCCGACAGAGCTGATGGAGAGGGCAGTGGCAACAGCCTTGTCAGAACTTTTTTTTTTTCTAAAATTAATTATATCACAATAAGTAACAAAAAAGTATAATGTTCCCTTAGTTTTCTGAAACCTAGTGTGACATTCACACACGAGCAAGGTTAAATTCCCTTTTAAAAACCTATGCTGGAGGAGAGTGTACCGGGTGCTACCTCAAGCGACCGTCGGGTTTGACGGGGCCCAGCTCGGATTTGGGGTCCGGGCTCAGGGAGCTCCAGGCTGTCTGAGCACAGCCCTGCATGACGGGGCAGGAGGTGGGGCCGGTGCTGCAGATGTCCACGGGGTCCCACCCAGAGAGTCCCCCCAGGCTTCCAGCCGGGTGCCGACGAGCCCCGCGTTCCTCTTGGCCTGGTCCACGCGGGCGGCACTGATGGGGAGGTTCAGAACGGGATTCAAGCCCTGGAAGCTCTGCTCCATGTACGCATTCTTTGGAGGCCCGCTGTGATACTTCATAGCTTCCTCTGGAAATGCAGAAACAAACCTCAAAGTTAGCACATTAAAAAAACCCCACCCAAATATTCAGGATCCAGGGGGAGGCAAACAAAAAGGCAAAAGTTGGTGGTGCACTGTAGTCTCCAGCACTGAGGACGCACTGAGGATGACTGGCTGTGCTCCACTCCCTGTGACGTGAACCCTGCGAGCGCCGCCTCGGGGGGGTGAAGCACCCAGGCTGAAAGCAGCGTTGTCCTTATCATCACCACGCACAACCAACATTCCCAGAGCTGCAGGACAGAGCACAACAAAAAGGCAGGTCCAGCCTCAATCTCCTGTCTGTACCTGGAGCCTGATCAACGTGCACCTCCTTCTTTGGAGAAACCCATTTTACATTAAAGAGAAGCTCATTTTGCCTCTCTTACCACAGAAGCAGCCTGGGAGATAAGCCCCCTGCAGCTAATTCACCCCTGCAGACACCCAGGAAAGGCTGTTGTGAAATTAGGAAATAGTTCAAGGATGTTTGGTGCGAGAAGGCTGCTGACCCTCATCAGACTTTCAAGTGCTATCATTGATATGTCTAGGAGGAAGGGCCAAGATCTCAGATCTCAGTCTGGTTTTTTATTTATTTTTTTTTCATTTTATTTTTCACCTAAACTGATGAACCTTGCCCTGCTGTGGAAAAATCACAATACTTATTACCTCAATCTGCCTCCAAATATTGAGCAGCGCCACTCCTGGCGCTGGAAGGACACCACCACAGCCTCAGACTGACCAGACGCACAATGAAGTATGTGCAGCCGTGGCGTGGAAAGGCTCCAGTCTCACGGCAGTTACATTTCAAGCTCTTGTGCTGAATAATGGATCACAAGTACTTCCTAATGACACTTTCCTTCGCATTGTGGTCGCTTTCCTTGCAGTACCTCTTCCACCTTAGGAAAACGCAGTACATTGCCCCAAATCTGTGCTGTTGCAGTAAAAATCCTTGCTAGGCAGTGACAACGCCTCCAAAGATCTTAAACTAGAGACCACAATTCAGACCACCCCTGTCTAGGCCTACCTCGCTTCTTAAGGTCTGTGAGTGCACCGAGGTGTTGCTCATAAATCAGAATGGGGCCCTCCAAAATGGAAGCAAATTTTCAACCATTTTTTTCTGTTCTCAGCTGACTTCCCTCGCATCCTCACTCCGGCAGCACAGAGGACACGTTTAGCTCTGCCAACACACACGCTGTCTAGAACAGAGAATGGGCCCATTCAGGGCGCTCCAGGCCCGGAAAGCCACCGCGCTCCGATAGCGGTTAGAGGCCGGGAATTACATATTCACAGCTACAATTCCTTCCACATGTCCTTGCTGCTTGCACCGCAGCCTGACACTGAGTCCTTTCTTCCATGCAGAGGACAGTCTCTCAGGCACTGGCAATAAATCAGTACATTTATTTAGAGGGAAAAAGGACATTTAATTGGAGCTTCGCTGTTAAATTTTCCAAGTCTTTAATGTCAAATACTATGCAAATGCATTATTTCAAATCCCCAATTAAATTAGTCCAGCACATCCCCATCACCATTATACATCACTTAACTGTTTCTGCATTCATCTAAACCTCTCTTTTTATTTTAAATGGCAGATATCTGCAATAAGCTCTAGTCCAAATGAGTTTATTCCACGCACATGTGTCAGAAGTGTGCTCTGCCAGAGCACTGCAGCTTAAGAAACAGAACAAGTACACATGATTAAATTTCCTCCTTTGGAAGCAACTAAATATGGAAGACTGTTTGTCAACATATTAATTAAATAGGAACATTCTAAGTAAAAATCCCCAAACAAATAAGAGTTGGCATTACTAGCAGGATCATCTGATTGAAACAGGCAATTCCGAGAGCTTGTTGAATTAAAGCCTGTTGTGCATGTGTTTAGTGCAGGAAACGAGATCTTTTTTCAGACAAATAACAGGATGGAATGGAACTTGCTCTTCTCTCCGGCTCTGGCTTCACTTGTCCCAGGCTTTGGGACTTGGTGGATTATCAGGACTGAAAGGAATGAAAGCTACAGAACCTGCAGCGCCCAGCGCTTGGCAGGGCAGCAGGAGGGCATCTTTTCCTCTGAATCTGTGACCTTTGTTGCCTAAGACCAGTGGGCTGCTTTTGCTAAAAAAGGTGATAACCTCAGCATCTTCAGCACATGTAACTTTCTCTGCCCTGTTCTTGCTGTAATCGTGCCGGACACCCTGTGTTTCTCACACCAGCACACTGCTGTTCCCTTCGGCACCACAAAGCGACCACCAGGGTAGAAAGGGACTGAAGATAAGTTCTTTGAAAAGCCCCACACAAATATCGGCAGATAGGAAAAGACTGCGGAGGGCAGTACTAAAGAGAACAAAACACTGTTTTGTGGTGGGGTAAGGGCTACCGCTGCACACAGTGGAAGGCCTGATGAAAGCCCAATGTGGTTCTGGCTGGGGATCGTCTGGCCCCGCAGCAGAACAAACCCAAGTGAGGTGTCTGCACACCCTAGCAAAAAAGAACTGGGTAACAGCAATCAGAGTGCAGAGCTACCTATAACAATAGGAAATGCTGAGGATTCAACTCAGAAACCTCTCCTGGAGCCTCCAAGTCTTTGCTAAGAAGGGCACAGGAGAAAGGAAGGAGGATGCTGTCTATGCAAGCTGTGGCAGATGTGGGCTGTTACTCTTTGCATTAAAGGAAAAACAAGAGAGAGAGAATCATGACTTACTGGGCTGGGACAGGAGAGGGACAGTGTGGTTCCTGAGCCCCAAACTACTGTATGAAAGGAGGCTCGAGCTACTGGGTGTGCTTTTAAAGCACTGACACTTAAGACGTTGCTCATGAAAAAAATAACAAAGACTACAATGTGTGAGATGTGTGCTTAGACATTTAAATCTGTACAGTTATAGCAAGCAATTTAAAATTAGCGGAACTGCAGATATTAAGCCAATTTTTTTTGCCAGCAAACACATTGAAAATAGCCCTTTGACTTCAGGAGGAAATGTATCAATGCAAAATATATTCCACTGGCTTTAAATTATAGCTTTAAAAAGATGAGTTATTTCCCCCCCCCATTTTTGTTTGCTCTTCACTCTGGGAGGGCACTTCGTTTCTCAAATGACTTTTCTTGGTATAACATCATCGGACTAAATACACAGCCTATAGTCAGCCACACAGGCTGGGATTTTAGCATTTTTGTGGGGGTTGGTTCTTCATTTTGCAGCAAAAGCAAATGAGTTTAGACAGAGAGTGGGCTAAGGAATGAAAAATGTAGTTACCTTGGAACACACTAAGGTGCTAGACCTAGGGTTTTTTTAAAGCAACACCAAATGTACAGCTTTATTTCTTTACTTGACTCGTGTTGAAACCCTGTGGCAAAGAGGTAATTTTTTATTGACATTTTGTTTGTTTTTCTCTTGCAACAAACAAGACAGTGCTGCATTTGCTCATTGTGAAGCTAATCGACTCCTTGTCAGCTGGATCTGAACTAAATTTCGAAGCAAATCCCTGTCTTCAGGGTTTTTCTTGCAATGAAGATTCCAGGGCATGTCTACTCTTCTGCAGTCACGCGCCTGCCTGCTACTATTATTGCGTTTATCAGGAACATGTCATGTTACCTCTGGTTAATTTGGAGAAATCACAGCAGTTCTGACACAAGTTGCCACCCACTTTATAATCTGTACAGATGCAATTAGAATTGATTGAGCCACTGCCAACAACCAGCGGCAAAACAAAGGTTTCCCAGTGTATACTTAATTAAGATGATCTATAAATATGGATTAGGTTAAAAGGCCTTTGAGATGCATGCGTGCATTGCGGTATGGCTGCTAATGCTGTCAAACCCGTGCAAGAGGTGGCTGCAGTCGAGGGCACAGGGACCAGGAGCTGCTCTTTAAGGCTCCTTGTCCTGCTGCGGAGCTCAGAGATCAGAAACCCCGTGTCTGGGGCACGCGACCAAGCCAGGAACAGAACATGTGAGGCCTCTCTCAAGGCACAGGAGAAGGATGCTCTTCCTCACTGCCCTCCTTGTTTGAAGGAAGAAGGGTTTTATTTATTCATTTATTTATTTATTTTCAGCCCAAGCATTTAGTATCAACTTGAGGTTTGGGGCTTTTTCTGCCCCAGAAGTCAATCTTTATTTAGCTTTAATGAAACGGGTACTACCCTGTAAACGCGTGACAACTCATTATCGTCACTCCAGCTGGGAGATCGCTGTGAAAACTTTGCCATGAATATAGACTCAAATTTAAAAATGAAATTGCATTGGCTTTTGCTCTGCCCTTCTCAGCGCCCCCGGGAGACGTGTGTGATCACACTCGGTACGAGTGCTTCACACGGACTTTGCAGAGCATGGAAGGGTGGGAAAGTGGGATGATGGGGATGCAGAGCCAACCTCTACTGAATTCCCTGTTTTCTTAGGAATTGGAATCTTCTTGGTAGCTTGGGTTTTAGTTTGTGAACTGCTAGCTAAATGCTCTGAATTACACCTGGTTTTGGCTCTGCCTCTCCAGTCCCTATGTAGGGGACCTGCACATCTGGCCTCGAGTCTCCAAATTGCGCTTAAATTCAGGCTGCCTAAAGCAGACAGCAAGAAATCCCCATTCCTGTCCATCATCACTGCTTCTGATCTCCTTTTTGTGTCTCCTCCATGTCACATGCTCTCTCTGCCTCAGCACAACTGAATCCTAGGGCACCCTGCTGGTCCCTGGCAGCCCTCCCATGTCCCTACAAAGAGCGCGGAGTAGTTGGCTTTAGCACGCTCAGCCGTATGGTGAGAAACTCAAAATGGCCCTATAGAAGAATAAAACAGAATCTGTCTGTGCAGGACACAAGGGCAAGGAGACACTGGTGGAGCAAGGGAACCTGGCTTCTCCAAATGATATCTCCCACAAATTCACTTAATTTTCCTTTTCTTTTTGTCTTTTTTTTCCCTCCAACCAGGCAAACACTTGAAGGCACTCTCAAGTCAGAGGATCTGCAGTGACACAGCTCAAACTAGAGAAAACAGACACAGGTTTGGATGACTGGAGGGGGAAGAGGAACAAGAAAGAATAAATAACATCAGATACTAGACTTTCACCTGAAATAGCTTTGGGAGCCTCGTTTAGAGTGGAAATACCCCAAAACTCCCAGTATACTCCGTAATTCCATGTAAGATCTGATCTCTTGTAGGTCCAGGTTTTGAAAAGGTCAATAAATCTGTGTTTTTAAAACCATTTACATTCTGTCAGTTATGCACATCTGGACACAGTTATCAAAGAAAAAATCTGCTCTTCATTTCCCTTTATGTTTTTTATTACATGCAGAGACTTTAGGCCAAAATTAATAAAAAAAGTGGGGGAAGGATGAATAAACTAGTTGCATATGCTATTTTTATAAACTGCTAAACAAAATAGCTTCACAGTTATTTTTTTTTATTTTGAATTATGATAATGAATTCTGAGAGTCATGATACACATTTTGCCTTGCTTATTTAAAGGAGGAGCAAGTGGCTCCCTTCATGACACTCGGAAACCAAACGCAACTTTTCCTTGCTGTGCCCTGTGTTAAAATGATGCAGAGATAAGTAATGATTTAGGAAAGTACTGTTGTCATGCCCGTGCTCTCAAGATAATGTAATTACGTGGACCCCAGTTTCTACCTCTGGACTGCATGAGACAGAGTGGGTCGAATCATTATCAAGCAAATGATATGCAAAGCGGTAGGAAATATATCAATCATTCAGAAAGCTGCTGGAGTAGCAAATTACTTTCCAGGGCAATCTTTCTGACAAGAGCTATAGGGTTTTTTTGGTTGGTTGTTTCTTGTTTTCTTTGGGGTGGGGTGGGGGTGGATGGGGGTGAGGGAGGATAGTTGGAAGAACAAAATTTTAAAGAAATCTGCTGACGATTCCTGGCTAAGCTTGATATATGTTATGTTTTCAGTGTTAAGACAAGACAATTATACTATTCCTTCATTTTGGAAGATTTTGGCAGCTTTCACATTGTTTACAACAGCACAGAAATTGTTCTTTTAGAAGTTCTAATTCTTTTGTCATAATCTCTCAGTGCCTTTATTCGGCAGAGAAAAATATATTTAAATAATAAAGTGCTGACAAACTGACAAAAGCCGGAACTCAAAGTTAAATGACAATTGCCTTCACAGAGCACAATAGTATCACTGACATAGAAAGCCTTAAAACCCCTAAACACCAGGAATTTGCATTGTAAATAAATTCTTACAGTGGAGTGTCAGTATCTGTCCCTGTAATTAGTTTTCTTCTTACCTTCATGCCTCAGACATCTGGATATTATACATCACATCATCGTAGCAAATCACTCCTGAGGCTTTCTTCCCCTGTTCCCAAGCTTTATGTTCCATTCCTACAGTAGATTCTATTCACCACATGAATGAACAGGGCTCTTTAATAAAAAATATGAGCCAGATCTCTTCCCAAATTATCAATGGGCAACACAGAGCAACTCTGTAATTTCAGAGGAATCATTCCAGATTCAGAGTTTGGACCAAAGGGAGTTTTGCCTTTACACCAGGAGGTGTGGGCTCACACCCACACAAGAAGTCTGAGACACGCCTGAATGTCCACAGGGCTCTCACCTTATGGGGGCTGGCTACATGGCACACTTTCCCACCAATTTAGGCCTTAATTGTTAAATTACCAAGGAATTCGTTAATGTCCAGGAGCTGAGACAGTAGCAGCTGCATTTAGATGTAGGTTGCCACAAACTTTAAGAATGTATTCATTCTGCACATAGCGTTTCTTCACAAATTAGCACTGCCTATTAGCTATTAACAGCAGCAGGTTGGTGGTGGTTTAGCTTCTGCCTAAGAAACGATGCCACCAAATGTTAGAAGAAGAAATCAGTAATTTAGCTTTTCTGGTGAGAAATGTGTAGAATCAAGCTCCCGTTGAGCAAGATAAGGGCTGTATTAGCTCTCAGCAGTTGTCTGGTGGTGTGTGCAGTACGGAAGCAGCACGTTATGCTGGAAGGTAAATGCCTGACTCAGTTTATTTGCTGCCTTGTCAGGAAGAAGAACTTCTGAAAACTTAATAGGATCATTCACGTATCTAGCAAATTTAAGATGTCTAAAGTTATGAATATTAATACCAGGCAGATGGAAGCACTTGAGCACGTTAAGAAGAATAGTGAAGATATTCATAGCAACAAACTTGTTTTGATCTTACTGAATAAGAAAACAGGTGTGGCTACGAGATGCCCCTCTTCCCCAGCCCAGTGTCCTCGGCACTGGCTGCAGATCTCAGCACTCCAGCAGCGCCCGAGCCAGCGCAAACTGCACTGGCACCTGAGAACAACCTCTCTATTTGGATGGCTCAGGGCTGCTCTGCCAGGGAAGAAAATGGTTTCTTTCTGAAAAATACCAGGCTGTCGGTGTACTTACTGTGATTGCCATAGCCACAGATATTTCTGTAACACAACTGCCTGGCATGCACTGAGCAAGTTTTGGCAAGGATCAGGCAAGAGTGAATGCCTGGACCTGACAATATGTCAGGTGAGCTCCAGTCTTGGGTAATTTTGTCTAATTCAGCATTTTGTGTATTAACGCTTTTATTGTTCAACACACAGACTTTGTCAAGACAACAGTTTAAACATCTGTAAGTCTTCATGAGCAAATGTGAACGTAAAGCAGCAGAGAAAGATCCATTTTTCCATTTCTAAATGATGGCTTTTACGACAGCTGTTTAGACTACTGAGAGTCTGAAGTTTTCTGGATTCTAAACTGTGCATATTCTAAAGATATAAACAGCCTTTTGTTCGAGTGGCTGCATTTTACAGACTGGATATAGACACTTCTGCTTGTCTTAGTGCAACAACTTCTTCTGATTTAGTATCCATAAAATTTTTTTTTCTCCTTTTTCAATACACTACTGCTTAATTTTTAACAGCAGCATTTACAGTGATTACTGATACCATAACTGTATTATTCCTGCAACAAATAATAAAACTTACCTTGTTTGATAGGCTGTCGATTAGAGAAGGTGAGAGGAGTAACGAGGAATTTGGTTTCAGCTACCTGTACCCAGTGGTGCAGAATTTTTATCGTCCAGACACCGGGCCGCAGGGGTAAATTCAAAGGTGGTTTGTAGTGAGTGAATTCAGCACTGGATTCAATCAGAATGTCATACGTTGCTGCAATTACATTAACAGGATCCACCCAGATGACAGTAACAGTGACGTTGGGGCCTTTTGCCCATTTCTGCATGCCAATCGGCTCATCAGTCGGCCCGAGGAGTCCTCCGAAATTCCGGAAAATCCTTTCCTTGGCGTCCCATTCAGTTCCAATCTGAAATCAAAGACCACATTGCTGCTAACATCATCTCTGCAAGCATCTAAGCCCCCTACATCAAATAAGCGCTCTCAAGACACACAAATCGTATTTCTCTAATGACATGAATTATGCATACATATAAAGGTTGACAGCAACATGACCTAAGATCATATCGCGTACACAAACTGTGGGACAACCTTGAATGCTAGGCGAGGGGTTTTGTTCCAGTTGTCCATTTCTGATTGAAAGGTTTACTTTATCGCAAGAGTGACGTAACAGGCTACAGTAGCTCACCTTTTCCTCCACATGGAAGTAATCAACAAAGGACCAAGCCTAGTGACTGAAGACAGGCTATGCACAGGAAAAAAAAAAGAGCCATCATCTCCTGGGTCACAAAAGTAAATTATACATTTGAGAGATGGACCCTGCAGTAGAGACCTACCTAGTTACTTTTAAGACCAAGGAAGAGGGTTTTGCTGACTTTAGAAGTGACATCAGGTCCTTTGCTACAATCTCTCCATGAGATGCTATCTCTCCTTGCACTCCCCTTCCTGCCTCATGCAGGAAGTTATTTCTGGTAAACCCTTTTCTTACTGTCATAACAGTGACATTGTTTTTTATTTATTCCCTAACAGTAAAGCAGCTGATTCACAATCTAGTATAAATATTTAATGGATCTTTTTCCTAGCAGCTTTCATATTTCAATGCTTTTTATATGAATTTTAATTGTTCACCCATAATCCATGAGATGATACAAATTTACAAGCTGCTGTCATTAACACTTGTGCACTACTGAAAATAAGCATCTCTGAACAGATAGCATAAAAATGTCATGAGTGGTCGTCTTAGGCCAACTGAAAGACTTTTCACTATCCCAGCACTAGGTCTAATGTGTTTATGAGGCTGACCACTAACAAACAGAAATTCTCAAGAAGGCAACCCGGTGGAATGCAGAACTGAAGGCTGCATATTTGCTTTCGGTGGAAGTGCCCACCTTGCTTGTCCCATGAGGTCCTGCTCCCACAGTCTTCAATAAAAAGTGATCAGTATCAAACACAAAAAGATCTGAGGGACCCCATTTGAAGTAAAGAACAGGAGAACTCTTTCACTCTCTTTGGTAAGCAGACACCTGATGTCATTCCTTAGAGAGACAGAGAGACGTGTTCGTCAGCCTAGTACTGAAACCCCTTCAGGTTGAAATCCCTTCAGAAGATCTTCAGATCTTCTTTGGCCTTAAGCTCCAAACAAGCAGTCCGGATGATTTGAGAGTTGGTTTGTTCCCAATACAGAAACCATGGGATTCTTCAGAGGCCCATGCACACACAGACAGGATCCCGTCTTTCAGCACATGTGGATATTAAAGATTTCTCCAACACAGAGCTGTCTTTGTCCCTGATCTTCACCTTACACTAGTAGGGTCAGAATCCGCTTTCCTAAAAGCATAACAAGTGATTGTAGCTCATTTGCGTCAGAGATTTTTCCTTGATTTCATCTCATTTCGTGAGAGTAAGTGGTTCCAATATAATGCCAAAATCCCCTCAAATCCGTAAAACATAACAATTACCTGATACCTGTACTGGGATACTGTACTGATACCTGTACTGGAAACTGTCCAGTCCCCAATCCCTTCTAAATAAATCACTGTGGTTGGCAGACAATTTGCAGGAGCACTGCAAGCAAAAAGCTACAAGGCCAGTAGAACAAAAACCCACCATCCTAAATCCATCTGTCATGATATGAATTCCTCCTATCGGACTATGACACTGCAGAATATGAGACAAAATGAGCCTCCCACTACTCTGCAATCAACACAGCAGAATTGCTGGTATTTCAGAGGTATTTCACCTAGCACACCAGCTAATCAAACCAGACAGCATAGCCCAGATATCAGACTCAAGCACCGACTGCCTCGAGGAACTGTCAGGGCGTACTCTCCTGACAAGACTGACTGAACATGTATGGAAATAAACTGAAAAAGAAAACTTCCTGACTAGAACTCATTATCTACTCCACCAACCTTCACCAAATGCAGCCATGTCACACCCACCAGAACTCAAGGGACCTGGAAATAATAAAGCCACAACATGTGAAACAAAACTACATCCTCCTGGGCAAAGAAAAGCCTATAAGGAAGCTCCTTCCACCACATTCGATATTTCTTACTGAAGAACTCCTTGAAGAAAGCTTACTTCATCAAAAATTAAACATTCATCCCTGACATCCAACTAGTTTCCTCTCTTTAGTTTCTCACTCCTGGGAAGAGAAATCAGAAAGTTATAATCCCTATGCTCCAAGGTCCTAGGTGACACTGCTCAACGTCAGGCTGCACAAAAGACGCTGAGATATGTTCACACGCACAAAGGGTTATGAGACTGGTCTTGTAGAATAGCCAAGATTGCTTTGGGGGAAAAATGATAACAAAATTGTTATCTGGTTGTTAAGCTTTGTGCAGACATGTTATTGTGCTCCCTAATGTTAAAGGGCAGGAGAAGAGGGAGAGGAAGGGACAATTCTCATGCTGGTGGCAATCATGTCCCATGAGGGCCTGTCCTAACATCACTGTCAAGGTGTGCAGGTCCCTGAAAACAGCAGCACAAAACCAAGAAGGAAACACCATCACAGAGCAGGCCCTCAGCAACACAAAGGCAAGGCCCCCAGCACCCTGCAACACCCTGCACCCCGCTAAGCCGGGCTCAGGCCAAGGCAGGGTGCTGACACCACCGGCACCACAGGGAAGGGAAAGGCAGGGAACTTCCCAATTTACACACATCTGTTTACAGGATCTGTCCTTTATGTCCAGTTTCCAGCTCTCGGACACACTGCACAGCTCGCAGTACAAGCCGGTTTTAGAAGCACAGTATTTTAAAGGGAATTTTACTTAAAGCACTAGTTAGAGTTTTATACTTCTTCCCTCGAACTCTATACAGCTGAGTTCCCAGCACCGTAATGTCTGATTTTACAGGCCAAGAGATACTACAGTCCTGTCATACTTTTCACAGCCCCTTAAAACATTTTAAGTAGGCTTTCCCTTTCAAATGGAATACACCAAGTATGGGATGGAATCAAGCAGTAATGAATATCTGACAAATTATGCAGGGATGTGGCACAGAAACTGACATTTTCCACATCATTATTTTAATCACCATGATTTTGGGCTTCAAGAGCAGACACTGTGCATGAGGTACTTTTGGAAAGCTGGAACTCTCTCATTGGCTTAAAACCACTGTTTCTACCTCTGTTCAGTCCCAAGACAAAATTTTCCCAAGATAAATTATGCCTTGATTATAGGTTTGTGTCTCATTGCTCACCACAAACAGGACCATTAGGTTCACACAATGCACACTAATTGCCTGCCACCTAGTTTATTTTATTCTCTGTGATGAATCACAAGTCTTAACAAGACCAGAAATGAACTTACTGTTCAACTGATATATGGTGAGCTGAGACTTTAGTGCTGTACAGCAAATCCATCTTCTGCCCTCCATGTAAAAGCCGTCAGGAACCTGGGCTGGTAGGACACATACAGCGTGCATTATGCACAAGCCAGTTTTAGGAGGTGTAGGAATTTCATGCTCGAAAACTGTCCCTCTTGCATTTCCTGTAAGTTTATTTTATTTTATTCAGCCCAAGACTGAGTGCAGGAGCCTTGTGCCACTGAAATGCTCTCATTAACCCCACTGGCTGGCAGGCAGCTCAGCTGGCCGAGTTTTTTCCACTTGTTTTTACATGGTATATGGTGAAATCTGCTACTCGGCAAGCAAAGTCTGAGAAGCAAAGCAGCAGAGGGCAACAAGGGCTGACTGGAGAGATTCTATCATCTCCGCTGCTGTTTCAGCCACAAATACACCTGGGAGCACGTTCAATGCTCCTATTTGCAGCTTATTTGTGCTCTTCCTAACCCATTGGGAAAGGGAAGAAAGTTTCCAGCTCAGAAGGCTCCATTTAGTTTTAAATTTCTCCCACATCATGGGGTGAAAGCTGTTGAAGAACCAGCAGTTTTATGTCCCAATAAACATAAATCTTAATTTCCTTTTCTGGTGCTTAATGAGTAAATATCGATGCCCTCATCTTAGGTGAACCACTAGGTTTGTTTTACACTTGCTAGACTTTGACAAAGAACTGGCATTTCAATAAGCAGTAGCAAGGTCAGAGGCTTTCCAGCCATACTGAAGCTGAAGAGGTTAATGCTAGATTTATCCTAGGCTAACTAACTTAGAGAATAATTTGGCCTAGAGGCAGAGATGCCTGCAGGCCAAGGGAAGGCAGTAAGCAAAACAAACAGTTAAGAAATCATTAAGTGATTTACTTTGTACCTCCTCAACTTTTAAAATATCAATCATCTACAAAGAATTTAGGTGAGCCACCAAAAATCTTTCTGTGTATTTCAAATAGAAGGAAATGTTTCCTCAGCCTGAAAAAAACTCACCGGGGATTAAATCCTTCCCATGCTTTGCCCTCACACAGCGTCACCACAGCAGCAGTTCCTACAGAGCTCCTTACAGACCAGTCGTGGTCCACGAGGCCATGAGGAGCAGCTCATTACCCCGCGACGCGGGGATCCTGCCCGCAGGGCGGCACACCTGGCAGAGCTGTGGGCACAGGGCAGCAGAGGCCACCAACGTGCCGCCGCTACCCCGGCCAGTGGAGGCTCGCGTCGGGCACTGCCACCGCACGACACCTCAGTCAGGCCCACCCTTGCTGCAGGGCTAGTTTTGGGGAAAAAAAAGGGACACTGGTGTCAAGGGGGACCTGGGAAGTGGCCAGTAGGTAAATCCTGGTACCAGGTTTGTTTTCTCCCTACAGCTGCAATGAAGTCGGATGTATTCTTTCTAAATATATTTTGTTTGAATTCTAGAACACTGAGATCAACATGTTTCTTTTCATCATACAATTTGAACAAACTCTTCCCGCTGCCAGCCTGGTTGCTTTCAAAAGCAGGACCCAGAGCAGGCATCAGGATAAACGTCTGATTAAAAGCACCAAATAAACAGCAGAAATACTTCTACAAATCACAAGAATTAAAGCTTGTATGACCATTTATCACTGCATGAAATGGCAAGCCTACCACCAGACACATTGATAAATGAAACACACTTTCCATCCATCTCTTTAATGGCACATTAGTGTCATGGATTTGCCATGCACACCAAAACACTGAAACCTACCCAGGCATTTCTTAATTGCCCAAGAAGATGGTAATTTACAGACTTGGCCATAATGACTGGAACACATTTGTTCAATCAATTTTATACCTTAATTGAAATTTGTGGCTTAACAAGAAAAATCATGAAATTAACTGCTCAGACAGTTATACCTTTAAAACAGAACACAGATGTTGGGTTCTATTAGTAGTCAACTTTCCTGATCTATTTTAGGGTATATTTTTTACACTCTATGTCAGATCCTGAGATAAATTCCCAGAAAAATTAACAGGATTTGTGGGAACTCTCAGCCACCGCTCTGATAATTTTCTCTTTCATGTTACAACACCAATAGTTTGTTCATATATGGCACTAGTGCCTATCACTAATTTTATGAGATTTTTCTTCAGCATACTGTTGAGAGGAATGCTTAATACATGCCCATTCCCATCTGCAGCTGCAGAAACATGGTATTCTTTGCAAGTATCTCTCACAGCACTCTCAAAACTTTTAAGTTATTGAGTCCCTTTTACAATTGCAAATGTCTTCAGTTCATTCTTCAAACAAGAGGGAGTGAAGACACTCAGAGTAAGGTAAGAAGTGAGGCTTGACCACAGATCTGAACAGGCAACAGCGTCTCCTTCAATGAAGAGGACATCTGCTATGCTAGAGAGCCACTCTCACCTAAAAATTACGTGGAAATAAGAGTTTCCAAATGCTGCTGTACGTAATCTCTCCAGAGGCTCCTGACATTGGATGGCTACGAGCACTCACCTCTGAGAACTGCAACCTTCCAAAATCGCTTGGTGGACTTGCGATTTTAAAGACTTTCTTAGGCATCACCCACGTTTCCAAAGTTTCTAGTTTACTGACAGCCAGATTGGTTGCATGGTGTCTGATCAGGAAGCCCTGGAAACGGTCAGCAAGGAAGTAAAGGTGGACGGAAACTGGATGGCCCATGGGGTAGTATCTGTAAAAGAGCACACGCACATGCTCATCAGTTACACAAGAGAGACGTAAAATTTCATTTACTTGGAGCTAATGGCTTAAGAAGCATTCATTTCAATACGAAAATTCAACACTGTGCATGGTGAGATTTCAGATGTATTATGACCCATTATCATAAGCCATTAATAATGGCTCATTGTCACGAGCCATTATTAAGAAAGGCTGTTCCGATTACCCTGAAACACAGCAAAAAAGTCACTAAGAATATACAGTCATTTAGAACATACTTGCAGCTCTAAGCTCTTTAAGAGATGCCTCTGTGCGCCAGAAATCTCCCCTCCCTTACTACCTCTCCTGGGTAAAAAGCGACAGACACCGTTGGGCTGCAGCACCATTCACTAGGATAAACGCTCTTCAAGAAATGTGTCCATTGCTCCAAATCAGGGTGTCATCTCTTATCTCCTTTGCCTCCAGCAGGGTCCATGGCCAAGCAGCACGGGGACAGCAGAGGGTGCTGCGGGGCTGGGCATGGGTGAGTCGGTGCCACCCTCCCTTCCTCCCTGCCCCCCAACCCCCTCTCCAAGGACATTGCTCCGGAGGGAGATGCTGCAGCAAAGGACAGCACGATCCAGCTCCTGGTTTGGGTCTCCTTTATTTTAGGAAATAAACTTCACATTCCCTGAAGACTTGAGGTTGCCTTTGCCGTGGATTTCTTAACTCGTAAAGAAAAACAAACTGAAAAAAAGGTCAAACAAACAGGGAAAACCTTTCATCTGGAGATTTGGAAGTCTTCAGTTAGAGTTTGGATTTAAAGACCTTGTAAACATGGTTTCAAATAATTATAACTTAGAGTCAATTGTCTGCTATAGTCTCAGAAGCATCTGTAATGATGTTTGTGTACATATGGATGCATAAAGAAAAAATACGTTATTCACAGCTCTGAAATCAATTATTTTGCTACTTTACAGCACTGACATTAACTGTGAAACAACTGTGTTCGCAACAGATTTAAAACTAACCAGTATCACACCTGCCCAGTCAAGTCAGCTAAAAGTATTCCTCATGCTAGTTATTAGATCTCAAGACTTAAGCATGAAGTGGAGCTAGCCACAAAGGGCCTTCCATTACATAAAACCACCAACACCCAGAAGAAAATCTCTAGAGCCTGAGAAATAAACATAACAAGAAAGGGTACAAACAAGGACCAGCACTGATGGACTGAGCAAAACCACGGCAAAGCTACACGGCCAGTACCAGCCACAAACTGACTTCTGTTCTGAGTACTAAGGCCTCCTGTTTTATACGTTGTGCAGCAGCAAATATTTATAACATCCTTGAAGTAGTCTGAGTAAATTGTCTCTTGGCAGCAGTGAGTAAAAATGCCTAGAGATGGAGAGAAATAAATTAAATCTCAATCACACATTAATGTTGCTTCCACTGAAGATGCTGACATGCAATCGCGTTTGGAAGCAGAGCAGCCTGCAGGAGGCATGGCTTGCCGGGGCTGTGAGCTAGCCCCCGTTAGAAAAGTGTGCGTGGCAGCTTCTCTCATAAAAGTCTCCTGGGCCGCTGTGGGTGGCACTGGGATTGACTCCAAATGTGATCTGAAGCGGCAGAGGCTTTCCTCGCAGTGCCTGCAGCAACGTGAAGGGAGCCGGGGTGCTGACGGCAGGATCAGCCAACTTGGTGCTGCTGTTAGCCCTGGCAGCACAGGGACACTGCCGAGGTGCTCAGCCCAGCACGCCCCTGCCAGTTCCGCGCCACAGACACGCGAGATC